ACACCAGTGGCGCGGCCAAGAGGGTGCAAACAATAGTCAATAGTTCTAGCAGGAAAATGGCTGGGTTTTGCTGCTTATCCTGCAAGTGGGCCGAAAACACTGCAATTCAAAAGATTTCCAAAGATTAAAGCTATGGAACAACTTCTTTAGTGCAGCAGGTCAAACTGGCTTGAAGCCACCCAATGCAACTTATCACAAAACGAAAATGACCACATGATTGAACAACAACCAATTTTACTAGGTCAGCTGTTTCCTTTTCAGAATCCGTGTAACATCCGCCGAATCCATTTCCCTCCCCATCCCACTCTGCCAAGCTGCGCTGGACCCTTGGGACCACCCAGCTCTCCCCCAAAGGCCTCGCGCGCCGCACTCGTCGCGCCGATTCCGAGAGTTCGAATGGTGGCCCCTTCGATGGCGTGTGCAGGGGGCTCCCTCGCCGGACTCCGGGACCCGCCACCGGATTCCGCCGGCCGAAAAGGGGCGGTTTTTGCCATGGCGGTCAATCGGTGGACCCCGACACGACACGACACGAGTCCTTTTGAGACAGGGCGGCTTTTTTCACATGTCGCTTCCCACCCACGGGTGGAATGACGACGACCGCTTTGACGATCTGGACGACCGCTTTGACACCACCCAGGTGGAGTTTTCGATGTCTTCGGAACTGTATTGGACCAGCTTGGGCTCCGAAAGCAGTATTTCAATGTTTGCAAGAACCGAAGAAGAGATGAGAAGTCTCACGGCAAGTCTTTGGATTTGACGGGGGTGGATCGTTGACTAAATTGTCATCTTAAGGCCCAAGCTGGAATTTAAGCATATCAGTGAATATAGGAGTGACATGGGGTGAACTTGATGACACTTGCCTTCATTATATGGCTGTGGGTCCCCCAAAGCAAGGTATATAATTAGGTGGACTTCCTTGGTCATCTTTTCTGTTCATTTTCGACGGTCAACTAGAGCCCCGTGAGTTTGACCCACTGTCATGGTGTCCATTCACCCACCTGACCATGTTCACGTCCCAGGCCTTTCGTCGCACAGCTAACAAACAAATGCAGGCGACCCCGCAACAGCTAAACACCTGGCGCGGTCAAGCGGACAGGACGGAGTCAGGTGCAGATTGTTTCACTGGGTGTGAAGCTGAAGCAAAGCACGCTCGCCAAACACGGAGAGTATCTGTCATGAAATTCGAGATCGCCTGCATGTTCTTTAGTTGAAACCCTGCATGAACTTGGAAGAGGTGCCTTCTAGATGGTAAACTTGGGAGGCGCCTTGGATAGAATCACTAAGTTGGCCCCCTTTTTCTCCCATGTCCCATGTCCGGGAGGTAAGGCCCTAGAATCCAACTTGGAAGGTGGCTGAGGGTGCTCTGCCCCAATCGTTGGAGTTCCAAACCTGGAGAAGTTCTCTCCAAATCTCTCACCTCGGAGAATTACTACATCACAAGAACATGGGCGAGAGAAATGTGAAATGCCTCAAAAACATCGGCACATGGCTCGTGCTTTCTTGGGCAAGGGATATGCTAATTCATCCCACAGAACGAGCTGAACTTCGCTTCGAAACTGAAAAAATCGTTCATTCAGTGGTGCATCTCCCCATTTTCAGCCATTGGATTCCCAGTTTCTTTAACCCAAAACCGTGGGAGCCGTGGTGCCTTGGGAGCCTTAAGGTCTCCACGTCTTCGTGGTCCACGGTCCCTTTCGATGGGATTCCGCATCCGAACCAGGTTCTGGGTTCGTCTGGGTTGCTGATTCCAATCATGGGTTCTATATGGTTCTATGGGATTCCAATCAGATGGGTTGCTGAGGGAAGAACCACCTTGAGAAACACAAGTAAATTCGTGCAATTGCACCCCTAGAGAACATCGTCTTTGACTCCCTGGTTATGGACGTTGACTCAACGCTGACCTGTTGACCGGGTCCCAAAACGCTTCCCCCCGTTGACCATTCATCCGTTGGCCGACTCCATTCGTTGAGGTTGACCAAGCCCACAACCCCTTCACAGCTCAACTCATTGGGCTGCCGGGCCATGACATTAAACCACAGATTTCCAGCTTCCACGACAAAGGCCTCGGCGAAAGGACAGCAGGTATGGGTGCGAAGGGCACTACACAGTATATATGGTGACACAATTGAACCAGTAACAAACAATTGGGATTATACGTATACGGTGTATATTGAGTTCTGGGAATACGGAGAACACTGCCCCACTTTGATGATCTTGATGGTTGATTGGTCGACAGGACCTTCCACTTTCTTCAGACAAAGTGATGCCAAACGTCATCTTTTGGATGGTCCGCCTTGGTGGTCCGGGCTGTGTCGACCTTGAAAGACTCCAATCCGATCATCCCAAAAAGATGGACAGCTCCAACAGCGCACCGAGTTCACAAAAACGGCCTTTTTTTGTTCAAAGCTTCCGATCTTCAAACTTTTAGGGTCTTCTTAGCGCCTTGGCGTTGATCGAGCCTTATTGAGCCTCCCAAGTTTGTTTAGATAAACTGTGTATAGATGTCTTGCGGTGAAACTACTTGTGAAATATGTGGATTCCCTATTCATTGATCTCCTCGTGCGATTTTCTCGCTATTTTCCTGACCTCTGGACCGCGAAAGAGCCTCCAGGGTGCACCCTCGGCTTTGATAAAACCTGTGAAACAGGTGAAGCCTGAACCTTCGTACCAGGACCATCCTGTCTGGGTGTCCTGTCTGGAGAGCCTGGATAGCAGTGGAGGGTAGTCCAGCCAGGACACCCAAACAGGATGGTCCAGGTATATACTACCTGCCGACCTAACAAGTTCGGTCGACCTAACAAGTCCCAACTCTTTGGTCCCCAGCATCAGGGATTGGTCCGTCAGGACATGTTTCGACGGACCAGTTCGGATGTCCCATCCTTCAGCACCACTGCTTCTATGCAAATGAGACATAAACCCCGCATTCTCAGTGAAAAAACTCCCAAAGCAAATCTTAAGCAGTTCTCAGAGTTCAAAACTGAGACAGGAGGGTAGCTTCCAAGACCAGTCGTTGATCTCCGCCGCATCCCATTGATGCCGCCGTTTTTCTCTCTGCCATTGATCTCGCCCGAAATCGGTCGTTGGTGAAAGCGAACGGTACCAGTTCTTGCGGTCCGAGGACTTTGGTGCATTCGTTGCTGGATGTGGGTAGAGCCAAAGCAGCAAAACTGTCCAGCAGCTGTCTCCGCATTGTCCCCCAAATCTGCGAAGAGCATCCAGAGTACTTGAGAGAGGAAGGGGGTGAACGAAAGGTACCGCAGCACTGCGTGTGGAAAGAAACCGCCTACATAGCTTAAAACCATTGATATTACGTAAAAGGTTGTATGGGAGAAACGAACTTGTGTGTTTGGATCAGCCAAGTTTGTGGCCACTTTGAAGCCTACATAGCTTAAAACCATCGATATTTGCAGGGTTTTGTGCCGGGAAGGCGCACAAAACCGTGTAAATACCGTGGTTTTTTACAATGTTGAAGCCTCCGAAAGCCGAAAAAACCCTTTCCGACACAATCTTTCCTGGCTTTTGGTCATTTTTCGGCAATCCCTGAGGATCGAAAGTTAGCTCTATATGCTAACATTTGGGGTTGTGTCTTCTGGGGCTCTCCGACCGCACCCTGTGAGGTCCGACCTCAAAAAATCGAGATCATACCAGAACCCAAAAACCACAAAACCAACGATCCCAAATCACGGCCCGTCACGGGTTGTCACGCTGGAGTCCGACAATGACCTCATTTTTAAAGGGGAAAAATAGACCAATCACGGTCTGTCACGGTTCGTCACGCCCTGGTATGCTTGGCTCTTGGGATTTCATGGTCTTATCCTCCGACAATGATACTGGAATTGTATATACATTTCAGGTACCCCAATCTGTGATTCGACAACGTCTTCAAATAACACGATCAATAGAAACGTATGCATATCCTGAGATCATTTCTATTTGTGACCTATGTGTGGTCATGGATCGTCAGGGAATTTTTCAAACCGAGACACGTCAAAAACCATCAGTTTTTACGAGGTTTCTTGCCGAACAGCCACATAAAACCCTGTAAATTGCATGGTTTGAGATGCTTGAAGACAGGAGGAGCTGAACACACTGGTATTTACGGTGTTTTGTAGCCGTCGATCCAGAGGCGCACCACGGTTGTGTGCTGGGAAAGCACAGAAAACCGTGTAAATACCGTCGTTTTCTGCCGGGAAGGTGCACAAAACCGTGTAAATACCATAGTTTTGTGCAATTTTGAAGCCTCCAAAAGCCTCAAAAATCCTTTCCGACAAAATCTTTCCTGGTTTTTGGTCATTTGTCGGTCATTTTTCAAACCGAGACGCATCAAAAACCATCGGTTTTTTCGGTGTTTTTTGCCGGACAGCCACAAAAAACGCTGTAAATTGCATGGTTTTCGGCCACTGTTGAGGACTGGAAGAGCTGAAAACACTGGTATTTACGGTGTTTTCGAGCCGTTGACCCCGAGGCGCGCCAGGGTGGAGTTGAAAGGCCCCCCCCCGGCCAGCAAACGAATATGTCGGGGGCCATTTCTCAGTGAGAAAGGCTCCACTCTGGGTATAATACATTTTTGCTAAAGCAAAAGGAAAACTCAGGTAGCGTAACCGCTACCTTTCGTGATTAGCCAAGTTGGTGAGGGATGTGGTATGATTGGGTTACCACATGATTACATGCAGCGGCTATTGCCTTACTTTACTAACATAATTCAAATGAGTTTGACCTCAAAAGTTCACTTCAGCAGGGCAGATCTTCTGATGGACTCGCAAGTGATTGGGGGATACAGTGATACCTTTCTAGTTTGGGCCACACATATGCAGTCGTAAAATCCACCTGTTCGGCTCAAAGAACACCCACCAACACTGTTGTGGAAGAGGTAGCAGTGCTACGGTAGCAGCAACTTCATTTGTTGCAGCTGCGCACTCTGTTTCACAGAATTCCGTTTCAATTCATATGTTCTTATGATATGGTAGAAAACTCCCGCAGATGTAATTTCGGGTGTGAATAGCTCATGGAAAATGTCATGGACCCACACCCGGCATTTCGCAAAAAGACACCACCTGTACACTGTACACAACTCTGCGACCATGTCAGTAGAACTTGGCTGATCGAAACAGAAAAAAAAGAAAGAGAAAACCAAGCGAGGCTGTACACTGGACTCATACTCGAAATGAGCATTCAGTCCACCTGCATGGCATGTTTGCCAACTTCGTGCCGATGCCGGGATGCCTGGTGGAGAGAAAGTGTTGTTTTGTGCCGCATTCCATGTTCGATGGACTGTCGGAGTTTTACCCCGCTAAGTCGACTCACATGAACCTTGGAGGAAACCGTCGGACCGAGGGTGCCATTCTTCCTAAGGGGTCCAACGTTTTCGACCTCGATCCTCGAAGAGGTATGGGCACCGGGAAACAGGCTGCTTCCGAAACTGAGGTTCTCTCAGGCTGCTTCCTCTAAAGCTTTCGTCTCCTCAGCACGCACCAGGCCAGGCTGGCTTAAACCGTGAACCTAAAAAATTGCGAAAGGCATTGTTCGTGCCTTTTTTTGCGAACAACAGAAGCGTCAGGTAAAGCATTAGGTAGCAAGAACTGCAAAAAATCAACCTCAGATTCTCTGGCACTCTATGGTTGCACATGGTGTGAATCCAGGGGATGATGCAAACCCGTTTTGAGTGCCTAAGAAGCGGCTGGAGACTTGTACTGAAAACAAACAACCATCAGTTCCAATTTTGTTTTCCTTCTTAAAAAGCCCATGAGTGGATGAGCTGGCGGCTTTTTCCATCCTCCACTCCATCCAACAACCACCCAACCGTTCACAATGGTTTCCTTCACAATCTCATCTCGTTTTCACATGACCGGCTTTCGACTCAAAACATGGTCGGCTTTCACCCCAGGCGGACTCTCCGTCGTCGGCCGGACTCTCCGTCTCAGACCGAGCATCCATCGGCCTTCGCTCGTGGCGCTCGACCGCTTCCCCGCGTCCGCGGCGTCCGCAACGGTGACGCCGTCGGCGTAGCCCGCGGCAGCCTGGTGGGTCAGGTCTGAAGGGCAAGGGCTCCAAGGGCAGCTGGGATGTTTCAGGTTTCTTTCGGAACCAAACACCTGGAGGATGACATAGACCGACCTGGAGTCGACCAGACAGGTACACTGTCTGTAAGCTACCGAAAAGGAATGCAGTAAACATCAATAAACTCGTCAAGCACAAGAATGGCGGGAACAAACTGGCTGGGCACAAAGATGTAGCCCATCCACAGGCTCTACTGCTTGGTAGAACTCAATCCACTATCGTAGACAGAGGCTGTTCTTGGAGTCACCTCGCAACCCCTCTAGGTGCTTAGGCACAAAGCTTGAAGTCAAGAAGTAAGCCGCTTCCTCTTGAAATCTGCTACCCTCCAACCCCTCTGCCTTGGGCACCACCTTTTGCACATCTTTCTCCTCTGGGTAGGGCCCAAGCTGCGCCAGCAAGCGATCCAAGTCTTTCATCAGCATAGCGACCTCCTCCACCCAAGGCCGATGTCGACAGCAGGCCGAAGACACCGGCAGCGAAGGCTGGGCGAGACTCCGGCTACCCGGCAGACCCGACGGACCAACCATGGACGGATCACGGATCGGTCGACTCACCTGAAGCGATGCAAAGCGATGCCCAAAGCGGTCGGACACGATCTGTACCTTCAGACTGGTGCATCAGACTGCGAAACGGAAGTTTCACCGTTTCGCCTGCTCTAGGTACCTACTTGGGTAAGTACTGAAGACACAAAGCACCGGAAAGCATGTATGAGACGCCGGAAGAAGAAGATCAAACTTCCGGAACCTTTGGGAACATCACAGTGCTTGACCCGCTCAGCATTTCATCCATCCGGTCCCGTCCTCTTGGTATCCAACCTCGGCATGGGGAGGTTGGCTCTGTGGAGCCTAGTTTCGTTGGATTTCTGGAACAGTCAAATTCAGTCGGCTCCTGGACTTGTCCATGCCACGGTTAATGCTCTACGACTCTACATACACATCTTTGACCTCATTCACATGCCATACCAGCTAAAGCTTTGCAGTATCCGACTGGACTTTATGGTTACAGCCTGCGACAACTCATCCTTGCCATGCGAACATTCAAAATCAGCACAGCCTCGACATTTCTTCCTCCGACAACAAGTGGCCCCCCTTAATTGGACTCCACAAATCAGCCCTAGACTTCCAATTCTGTCAAGTCCATTCCTTGAATCAAAGGAAACCATATAATACACACCCTCAAACAATCGTGGATCTTGAGTCTGACTTGTGAAGCCAAGTGGTCGCCCACGAGCCCTGTTTCTCCCTGTATACAAGATTGTTGGAGGAAGGATAAGATTCAGTTCCCTTAGAACTTAGAACAGACCCAGTCATTCTCAACTCTCAACAAAAAACATGCCAACTCCCAGTCGTCGTTCTTTGAAGATATAGTTACAGTTCCTTCTAAACCAAGTGGGTGGTGCTACAACCACATCCCCAGCTGCTCAGCTCGCGCGTCAATCTCTCCAAGGGTCCGCAAGGCGCAGCCAGGTGCCGTGCTTCGCCGTCCCGGAACTCGTCCTCGTCCACGTCTGTTCGCCGGTCTGGTCATAGAGCTGGGCAGGCGCAGCGTGGGGCCACGGGTCCAAGCGCGAGGTGCTCGAACCAAAGGAGGTCCTGATAGGGGACCGGTCGCGAGGTGCGGGAGCTGCTGTTTCGAAAGCAAAGCGGAAGCAGAAGAACGCGAACGTCCGGACAAAGGATTCATGTGGAGTCTCCAAAGCCAAAGGTGGATATGAATCTTCATATCCAGCTCAGGAAGGGGTTCGGTTCATAGAAGCATGGCTTAAGAATAGGGTACCATCCTGACCAATTGGCACAAGGTTTGTAAACAACATGTAAAAAGGATGTGAAGGTGACATTAAACATCCATGCAGGTTCCCTGTAGGTTCCTTGCGGGTTTTCTGCGGGTTCCCTGCGGACCTCTCCTTCACATCCGGTCACCGAATCGCAGCCTGGGGACTTGCACTCGGGCGAGGTCCACGCAGTGATCGTCTTCATGACGTGCTGCTTCTTCGCCGAGACATGAAACCAAAGGCATCCGGGCCCTCCCTTCGTCAAATATCCTGGGAGGGGGCGCGGCGCGCTGGAACATCAGAAAACGATGCAAACAAACTTCAGTGTTTACCACTGCAACTACTGCTCTGAACCCCCCCCAAAATTGGGTGTGAGTGTGAGCGTGGTTGGAACCCATGGCGCCCATCACCATCCATCACCCATCATCCGCTTAAGTCCCTTCTCCTTCTTCTTCTTCTTCCAAATGCAGCTGTGTCTCGCTTGGCGATCGAGAATGTGGGGTGGGACGGCAGCAGCGGATACATTACCTGTCTCCATGTGCCGAGGTCAGAGTAGAGACACCCAGCACAGCATGTGACGGCAGCAGCGTGTGAGCAGCAACCCCCATGAAAAGGTTGGGAAAAGATCATAACAGTGAAACACCCCCAGAGATTGGCTCAATATACCCCTCAAATCAGACCCCTGGCACGAAGCAGCACGGAGCAAGACCCACCGCGGTGGCCTTTCAAAGGAGTCAAGGGATCACGGTGACCCCGGAAGGTTTTTCGTGCTTGGTACAAGAGGGTGACTTCATGTGATGAGGGCTTCATTGATCGACCTCGAAAAAACTCCGACTCTCAGAGAGGGGTGCTTCTCAATGTGTAGACTGGGTTCCTATAGGGGTTCCTATGGGTCGTTGGTGGGTTCCTGGTTGGTTCAACCCACGAACTGAGCAAATGAACTTGAGCGAATCATCTCAGCTAGAGTGGCGCGGTTCACCGCTGGATGCGCTTCCAAACACTCCGCCAGCGCCACAGCACTCTTCGAGGTGGCCTTGAAGGTTTCGTGGGCGAAAAGAGCCAGCGTGTTTCGTAAGCAGTAAGAGCCGAAGTGGCTGGGGGATGAAGACCTGCCTGATGAACAACTGATCTTGTGGTGGTTATTTGGGGATGTCCAAACTTAGCCAAATTGCATCAACAGTAGGGGGTGACAGCGAGCAGTTGGACAGTAACTGACCCTGTTGCCCGTGACCAGGAAGCGAAATCTGCATGTGACATGTACAAGTGGGACGTTCACACCCAACTCATCCGTGCATTGACGCTTTGACGATCTCAAACATGATGTTGCCATCTTTTGTGAAAGTAAACTAGCCCTATAGCTTTCTGTTGGTGTTGCTCTTCTAGAGTGTTTACATAGGTTGTATTTCAAGAGCCTCGGACCCATTCCGCCTCGCTCCGGACCCTCTCGCTCTACCTCTCACTGCTATGTGTGCCTCCATCCGAGCGTGGAGGCTCTGGAGGCCCTCGGCGAAGAGCTGACAGTGGTCTTGTCCCACGAAGATGCCAAAGGCCTTGATCCTGATCACCATCGGTCGAACACGGCCCTGTGCATAAACACCCAAAGCGGAGGGAGGAGTTTTGGTCAGAGACAGGAAGTATTGGGAAGGATTCACTGGGTTGAAAAGAGGTGATATTCATTGACATTCTATATATATTTTTGGGTGGTGCGTCGTGAAACAAAGGGATACCCCCCCCAAAGATTCCTGGGAAGAGGAGAATTTATTATGACTGTTTCCTTATTCAAATAGCTGTTGTAATCCAAGTTCATGCCAAGTGGATGATGGACCCTTCGAAGTAAGTTTGAGCCTGACCTCTCAAAAGCCATGTAAACAGGAACCTAAACCATCCCTGTGGGTCAAAACCATCCCTTGGGTGACCTACCAAGCGACATGGTGTCTTGTGAATCGACCGCTGGTTTCTGAGTCTGACTCGGCTGAAGACCGTCTGACTCGTCTGAGTTCAAGACCTTGTTGGTAAGCATTGATAAGCATTGGTTGCTGGGTAAAAAGGACTGCGCAGTCCAGGATTAGAATCCTAGAGAGCTTGGCAGTTTTCTGTCCCGCCCGGTCGCTTTTGGAGCCCCAACACTGCGATCCTCTACATCCTTTCTTTCTATATAGACTATATTGACCTCAATACCTCGAGTCTCCACAGGAGCCTCTGAAAAATTGAACGAATACGAAGAGTAACAGGAAGCGTCTGGGATCCAGAGTTCAAAAGACTTAACGCTGGAGTTGATTCCTCTTCAAACATGAGTGCAGCACAGGTCTGAACTCTAGAGGACACCCTGTAATTTTGCACTGTCATGTGCAACCGAGACTAAACGTTTAGATCAGTCTTAAAAACCTTTCAAGAGACTGAACTCCGGAGTTTTTCCGCGAGCAGAACAAGGTTTATATCCCCAAATATCCTCAAGATTGAGGACCCGGTTTTAAACCCCTTTAGAGGTAATACAACAAATGAAGACAAACGCCTGAAGGATCTCCAAACCATAGAGGAAAGCCAAACAATAGAGAAGGGACTGATCTCTGGAGTTAACCTCAGAACTGTAAAGTTTAGACCTTGAACTCTGAGACTCAGTCCTTTCTACAGCAACATGTACGATGCCATGCGTGTTGTGTTCAAACATATTAACTTGAGATGCCTGCCAACCAAAAGCAATTGGAAAGATCCAAACAAGGGGATGACAAAGAACACACAACTACCTGCAGCCTTTATTCTTGAAGCACAACAATATTCTTTATAGTTCTCATTAATTCTCTATCCTTGAAGCCTGCAGTCTTTATTCTGTATTCTTCCAGCAAAAAGCAACATACAAACTACTATCTATTTATAGTAAATCTAAAATTAAACTCTAATTGCGGGTCTCCAAAGCAATCTCCCTTGATTGTTAAGCCTCAAACAGGGCCTCAACCCTCATTCCAGGCGTGGACACAACCCATATGACACATCCAGGCCGCCACGAGAGGATGGGTGCCATCAACCCATTCGGCCTCGAAGGGACGAGCCGAAGCGAGTTGATCAATTGACGTGCTCGTGCTTGATCACTTGGAGGATGAGAGATGATGAGAAAGCATCTTCAGTCTTAACTCAAGTTAACCAATTTTTTGATGTGGAAGAAAGATGTTGTAGCCCAGTATGAGGGTGAATCCGCTGCCTGAACATGGATAAACATGAAGGAGGTAAGGATGGAACCACTACATGGTTTTTGTATATCCTTGCAGAACCTTGCTGGACTCTTAACAAGAACTAAAACTTTTGTAAATGAACCTGTCTGGTCTCCTGGTAGGAATCTAAGCCGTGGTACCCTCTATGTTCACGAAAACCAGGCATGGAAAACCTGTCTTTAAAGCATCTGCTTTGCACAAATGAAGTTTGTGAAGCGCTATCCGCTCCAAACAAAAACAACGCGATGGATCATTGCCGGAGACTCCACCACCCCCCATTGCCTCGTCCGCTCAACATGCGGTGGCGGAGTCAACACTGCGTGCCCTTGTTACTAGTGGCTTCTTGTTCCTAGTAGTAATACCAGGAGCTACTAGTAGCGTCCTTCGGCGTCCTTGCTCATAGTAGCGATGCACCTTGCTACTACCAAGCATTTCCCAAATGCCAAATCCTTGAACCAATGAGGAGCCCCAGCACGGCGCCACCAATGCACATCCCTGCGGAGACGTACTTCGTCATGCTTTCGACCTCCGACCCCGCCGGATGGCGATCCGGAGGCTTCCGCAGGTCTGAACGGAGTTCGATCGATCCCACAGGGGGTATTTGATCTATACCGACCCCATCCATCACAACTCAATCACTAAGACAGCTCCCTCCCTTAATTGGGGATTCAGGATCCAGGATGAAGTTGCCAAGAGATCTTGAGGGGTATGTTGAACTATAGCTATTTTGTAGTAAATGAAAGTACCTATTGTACAGAATCTATTTCGTACCATGTTGTAAACCTCGTGGTCATTGCAGGGTTCTCACGTCAAAATGCTCTCACCGCCGGAAGGGGGGTGGATTATTCAATGTGTTTTGATTCTTGGCAGGCCTATACCATCAAAGACGATTTATATAAGTTATAAGTGCACATGCTTTTTGGGGCTAACTAGTTGGTGAAGCGCAGCCACGCGCAGCCACTCACAATATTGTAATCATCGTTTTTTAGCTACTGGGACTGTGGGTGGGCCTCTCGATAAGCATTGGCGCTTCAGTGGAAGCAGCAGTCTTTCTGGGGGTGAGTTGGAGAGTTGGGATGGGCTGGGGCTGTAGCTTGCAAGCGCTTCATGTAAACTACGGCACACTACAGCCGTCTTTCGCATGCGGCACACTACAGAACTCTGTTTCGTTGTCTTGTTCTCTTGTTGCGTTTGAGCCGTCTTTTGTCCACATTCAAGAACCACTCCATGTTGAAGAACTTCTTGAATCGATCCGACTGGGTCTGCCAATCTGCGATTTCTTTACTCTGCCAGCTCACCCTCTGAATCTGACTTGGTTTCCGTCATTCTTTCTGACAGCGGGAAGGGCCGTTGCTCTTGTTTCTTGTGAATCGGGGCTTCGCGCGTCTCCTCAATACTTCGTTGTTCGTCCGACCTCCATCGTTCGTGTCTTGTTGTGCACATCCGTCGATCACGTGGGCGACTCCGGGTGTGGACTCTGTGTGTCTTGAGTAGAGTTCCCTTCGCACAGGTCGTCAATGATAGCACAGTTCAGTTTGCTAGAGACCTCAAAGGAAAAAAAGAAGCTTGCCGACCAGGCCTCAGGTAACAGTTGTTGGCAGGAAAGGCTTCAGACAACTTCGTAACGTTTGGAACCCCCTGCAGAAATCTTTGCCACAACTGCTGCGTGCTCGCAAAACCCGCTCCGGTGATGTCGGTGGAAGGAGCTTGGACGTTTCTCTCCTCCGCTGAAGGGAGATGCACGTAGGTGACGCTGACAAGCCACATGCCTTTTCTACTGGCCCTGCAGGCCCTGCAATTACCAAACCAAAGCGGCCGGTCACCTAGGTACCCCCAAAAGCACCAACGCGGCACGTGTGTTGACCTTCCCGGACGTGGCGTCTGAGGCGTCTTCAAACGTGCGAGGCGTCGCGTCGCGGAGACTATTTTCCCCTGGTTGGCGGTCAATACCTTGGCTTGGCATGAGTTTGTGCTTCTTTCGTCAGACTGGCAAAGTTGGCACTCCCAGTGGATCAAGTTCCCACTGTGGGTATGTTCCCATTGGCTCCAAACACAACAAAGGGCCAACAACATCGGCCAACAAAGGGCCAGAATCATCGGCTCCACATGCCTTTAGACACTATCTCCAGGCTCAAACGGCTCAAACTTAATTATAGTAAACATCTTACCCCTGAGAAGGGGTTTGACCAATTCCGAAAGCACAAGACCATCACAAAACCGTTCTTCAAAGAGCAACATGACCAATATATTTATATACGGACTAAAAAACCTGCGAAGTTTCGAGATCATTCTTGCAAACACTGAGACTCCAAGACCGAGGACTTCATTCCCTGTTTCATCGCCAGGATGCCACCAGGTCCGCACCATGGTCCAAGGGATTGAACAAAGCACCGGAGAGCCAGGTATTATCGCACACGAAGAGGCACTCCTGTCTTGCACCAAACGAAGCGGCGGGTCACATGGGCAAGGTAGAACTTGGTGCAGGGCGAACAGAATTGGAGGTCTCCCCACGAAATATATTCCATACTATTCCCTAAATATATATTCAGGGAATCTCAGGGAGGAATCGGAAGTAGCTCAGCATGTTCACAATGGTCTTGTGGTGAACAGGGTGTTCTAAGAGGTGGCATCTGATCTGCCTATATAAGATGTTTTCACCCAACTGAAACAGGGTAAATCAGTTGATCCATCTGGTCGGTGAAGCCACTGCCCACGGTGTCCGTAGTTGTAGATAGCCCCGTCTCCACATCAAACGCACAAACCACTCTAGACTCGAACCCTCCAACTTAGGCGTCACACATTAACTTATTAATCCGATTGTGCCTCTGCCGCTTCTGCATCGTCCTCATCGGATTGATCGCTGTCCCGCACAGAAGTTCAACCAAGGAGACTCAGAAACACCCCCCAAAGGTCAGACAGACCCTTTTGCGGAAACACAAAGTGTGGCTTTATGACAAGCAAAAGCCCTTTGTATGACTTTGGGGGGTGTTTATCGACTTTGGGGGGGTGTTTATCATACCCTATTTTATCAAGCCAAAGTGTGGCTTGATCTTTGTCCGTCCCGCCCTTTGGGCTCTGGTGCCGACTTCCTGAGTTCCAAGGCTCTGGTGCCGACTTCCTGAGTTCTTGAATGAGGCGGAAGTCAAAGAACTGTCCTCGGCATTCTGCACTTCGTGAAGGCGCGAAGTAGAAGCGTCAACCCTGATCACATCACAACGGTGAGGTGTTCTAAGAACGAGCATCCGGCACCAGGTCAAGACCTCACCAGCATACCACCCACCTCTACATGTCATCCACTCGCCGCTTTCCACTGGCCGAACGGACTGCGGTGGTGGGTCAAAGCGGAAGACGCATAAAAGAAAACCATGGACGCACCCTGACGCACCCGACAGCTAGAGCTACAGGGTTCATTGTAAATGCTACAGTAGTCATGAAGGAAAAACAATGATGAAATGCTAACCAATGCTAAGCCCCCCTCCTCCCTCCTAAGACTCATGGGAAGCCATGTGGCAAATTGATCTCTGTCGAATCCGACGCCCAAAAGTTTATCCAAGGCCTTTCCAGTTCCCTCCAAGTTGGAGGAACTTTTGTGGGCAGAGGTCACTGGAAGGGTCCAGGGCAATCCAAGTCCAGTCTCCACTTGGATTGGTCGCGGTCTCAAAGTGAAAGACCTTGATGGACGCACCCATCCTCGCTGGAGGGTAGAGAGCTCGGCAAGTGCTTCAAGGGACCGGCAAAGTCAATGGCAAAGCTCCCAAATATTGGTCAGGTATTGACGGCTACACTTGGCTTGAGGGTACACATATGGATAATTATGGATACTTGCATATATATATATATATATCCACATACCACAAACATGCTGCTTACCTTTTCGGCTTCTGGGAAGTGGGGGCACTTGTAAATCCAACAAACACGGCGTTTGAACAGGCGGCCCAGTTCAAGCATCTCAATTCACGGAATCTTGGTCAAAAACCATAACTTGATATGGGTTCTGCAGCTCAAAGACGGGCTCTGGACCCTGTAAGAAGACCCAAAAAGACATTCTTTTCATCTGGACCTGGTAGATCCCAGATGTCCCAGGTGTAGTGTTCTCGTTTTGTTCCGACGAAAGAGCACCAAGGCTCTGGGCAAAGAGCTCGCGCAGCTCCCCGTGACGCGTCACATCCACCGCCATGCAGCGGGCGCGGCCGGAGGAGTCCGCGATGTAGTGCAGCGTGCGAGGGACCTGCGGAGGAGAAGGTTCTCGTCAGCAGCCGCTTCGCAACTGCTACATGTTTGAGGTTCAAAAAACTGCTACATGTTTGGGACCTGCGGAGGTTCGGCTTCTGCTACATTGTGAGGGTCAAAACCCGAGTGAACTGAGGATCCAGCCATGTTCCAGCCTGTGTGTTCCCACAGAATTCGGGTGAACGTTCCGCGGACAGAACACGCGGACGAAGAACACATCACCTACGATACTGTCCTTTACGAAGGGCTCGGGGATCCCATGTGTTCGGAGTGTATCCACGGCCATGGATCTCATCAGGCCAGGACCCAACGGCTTCATGGGACCTGGAAAAGGACGGAGCAATGAGTTGGGGGTGGGAGGATACAGCCTACCTTAGGTAGGTAACCCTATCCACCCTACCCCTGAAGTCATATGCTAAGGTTGAGGGGATGGGTGAGGCTTCAAAAGACTTCAGCTCACGGAGGTGAAGCTCCGGAGCCGGACTGCTAAGCTTTGCGACCTTCCAGAGTCAGTCCTGGTAGGCAATCGTTTCCTAGGGACATCAAACACTACCAAACAAAACAAGTCAACATAAATTGATATCAGATGATATCAGATGCTCATTGGAACTGTCCTCATGAAGTTGGACTGGTGTGGTGATCTGTGGTGTCGTAAGCCGGTTGTATGCATCGGGTGCCTGTCGTAGACATTCGCGGCCCGATTAAGCATTGCGAATTGGTCAGAGCCTTTGAGGGTTGAGACTTCTGGTTGGAGGATCTATTAAAGATATTTAAAGATTGAACCATCCCTTGAATCCAGCGGAATCATCAATCCCCACACAGACTTGCCAGGACCCTGCACTGTGTGACTTTTGTTGAGAGAATTTTCACCACAAAACAGCCGACGAGGATTCACCCAAGGGAAACAAGAGAAACGGCCAGACCTCCAAATAGACAGAGGCTTCCTCTCCAAACCCAACTGCTGGAACCTTCTGTTTTGGAAATTGTTTTATGACCTTCGCCCTTTGCTTCAATGAGGGACCGAACTCAGGGCGGATGCCACATGCATTTCAAACCCTGGAAATCCATGCCTGTGAGCAGAAACTGATTGCCCATGAAGTGTCCATGAAACTCCCGAACCCGAACCAGCAGAGTTCGTGGCCTCGCAGTAGAGTTCGTTGCCATGCACCAAGATCCATGGTTTCTTGGCATCTGCCTCCAACGCTTCCGCTGGTTCTTTCTACGGCAAACCATCTCATAGATTTACCCTGCCATTGAGAAAACCAAGATCACAATGCAAAACCAAGATCTGTGCAGGGCAGGACATTTTGAGGGGATCATGAAATGGTGGGTGATGTTTCAACTGTGTGCAGTAGGGCTTACTCACAGTTCACGGTGAACACACAAAATTGCTTAAAGCTGGATCGTTTTGCAGTCCCAATGTTTATCAACTTTGATATGTTGAGCAGATCCGCAAGGTCCTAAACATTCGACTCTTGTTTCCTACTGGGTGAGGTACAAGTAAATAAATCACCACTGGCTGTGAAACTGCGGAAGTCGATTTCTCCATCTATCCAGTTCCTTGCGGGAAACCACTTCGCGGATTCGCGGATGGTGCAAGTGGTCTTTCTGTCATCAACTGCCCATGGGGTAGTACATGATATGAGACCTACAGCACATAGCTTAGCCGTTCCATTGAGTTTGGACGTGGGAATCGATGTGCCCTCACCTATGTGCTCTCACATGTGTGCTCTCTCACACCTGTGCTCTCATATGTGGGTCTTTCATGTGTTTGTTCACATTGCGTGCTCATGTACTCTCATGTTTGTGCTCTAGAGTGTGGAAGTTTGCTTGAGTACACTTGTCTTGTTCTACTTGCATAACATTCAAGATGTCTTTTATATAAACATCAACTTCTGCCCACCAAGTTCTCGCATGTTTGGGTTTCTGAATCTTTTCCAACAAAAACATTGGCGCTTTCTCGCTTGCGCGTTCTTGATCGTTTGGGACCTTCCAGCATCCGCGAACCCCGCCACCCGCTGCGGACTCCTGCTGGTTCTGCGCGATGGCTGCGACGGTCGCTCCGATCGCAGCCATGCCCGAGGGAAAAAATCAAAGCTTGGTGCTGCTGGTCGTTTCGCTGGTAGAGCCGGAGTAAGGACGACCTGAGCATGAGCGATTTCAAGAAGTGAACTTCCTGGAGTCTCAAAATACGTTTGGACAATTAGATACCTGTTTCATCCTGCTTCTATAGGGCCATGTCCCATTTTCGTACTTTGCAGGGTCCCTTTCTATCTCCCCCCATTTGAGGCATAAGGGTCGATCCAAAGTCATCATCAACCATAGCTACCTTTAATATTGGCGGAATGCTGAATTCTTTTCAAATATTATATGTCTGAGCTAAGAGGAACCTCAAACATAAAAGTAAGAAGGATACTACAAAAAAGGTCAACTCCTATGACTCCTATACAAGAAGGTTTCAAGCAAGTGTAGGCAAGGCATTGCGGTGGCACTTGGGGTGGACACCCTCTGGCCAACAGGGAAACTGACCAATACACACAAAAAGTGCATCCAACGTCCCAAATGTTCCAACCCAGCCGAACCTCGCGCCACCGGTGGGGTCGACTCCGGCGACCGCGACCAGTCGAGGCGACTCCAGTGCTTCTCGTGCTCGACTCCAGGTGCGGGCGTACAGGGGGAACCCTCTGCGCTCGCTAAAGACCAGCGCTTCAGACTCCACCGCCATGGCTTCGAAGCACTGCAGGTTTTCTTTCGACTTGCGCACCGAGGGGGGTCGGTGGGACGTGGCGCGCCACACACGTATGTCGGATGGTGTGTAGGTTGTGGGCAGTGTGGTTTGAGCCGACTTCCAGTCAATCACTGAGTTGACTGGGCTGAACAAAAAAACGTGTTGGTGGAGTGAGTGTTCTATTATCCTGTGCACATGGATTGTTCCATCATGAAAAAGGTGACTAGCACGAAGAAGCCAACTAGTGCCAACTAGTCTAATGATCCGAAAACAGCACGCAGTGGACATGATAGGCGCTGATTTGGGCATGAGACGGAGTGCCAGGTGGCCCCTTATAGGCGCCTGTGGCCCCTCCGCATCTTGGGGTTGCATCGACAGTGCGCCAGCCCACCATCAGATTGTGGATACTTGTCCCTAGGCCTTCAGTCGTACCTTCTAAGAAGGTGGGACTGGGGTGGGTTTGGAGGGTCTAAATACCTTCTGAGGGTACTTGGAGGTGTAGGGTGTAGGAGATTTTTGGGGTGGACATGGCCCGGCCCCGAAGAACTGATTCCGCCCGGCCCGCTGACCTGTTTGTGGCTGAGACACATACAGAATAAGAGGATGACACACATAGATCAGGGTGACGCCGACTCCACTCTCGTTGACCCTGACTTAAAGACTTTCCTAAACGATTGCACGGGGCTGTGCAATAGCTCCCATCAAGTTGTCAATCGCTTTTTCATGGCTTTTCTCCACCAACGGTCCCTTCTGGGAATCGGAATCGACGTTTTGATTTGGAGCCACCACAGGTCGCTGGTTGGAAGGTCAGAATGTTGGATGCAATAGCTGACTTTGAACACACATTGCCCAGAATTGTCGTATCTCAAACACTCCACAAAACAAGCATATGTGCCGACGTTGGAGTGGTTTCAGGTTTCCATGTATATATGTAGGATACTATAGGTAAAGATCTTCCATAAAAATGAAATGTTTGGCTAACTAATTATAAGCGCATATAAGCACCCACTGGGTTAACTGTGCCATCTACTTCGCATTGGACTCCACATCCACTTCGCACACAGCTGAGGCTGGATTGCGAGAAGTCTGGGAGCCAAACGCCTTGGAGCCAGTCCTGGGCAAACTCTTTGTCCTGGCGACGGGGTCCCCGATCCAAGACAACTTCGCAGAAATCAGCGGTCGCTTGCCTACATGATCCTCGTTCTCCAACCAGGATTCTTTCGTAGCCCTTAGGTTTGATGTCTTTTTCCTTCCTCCCTCTCTCTGTCTTGGAAGAAGATGACGCTGCAAGTCAAGGTCATGCATCCAGCCGACTCTGCAAGTCAAGGTGCATGGCCAACAGTTGCGTTCCCATCCTTGGGAGGTCCTACCATACATCCTTTGTGTGTCAAAGTACCTTGGAGAATCGGTGCAGAATACAATGAAAAGTGTAAATCTCAGTGAACTCTTAGTCTAAAGGGTCCTAATGTCCCTAGCCATTGGAATATACATATATATTGGACTCCAAGAAGCAAATGAGAAGCTTCCAGCGCTTCAACATTGAGTGCTGTCCCACTTCTGGCTGAATTCTCTGTGACTTAAAAAAAATACATATTATATAATGCTATATAATGCTTGAGTATGCTCAAATATAACATTTTTTGAAATACATGTTGAAAGTCACAAAGCAAACCCTGGTGGTTCCTTTGGTAATTACAAGCAACCGAATCGATGGGAGAAACACAACACATGACAACCACATCCATGTACACCATCCACACAGATCAACTCCAACCTGCCATGGTCAACCCCCCCAACTCCCCAACTCCTGTGCTCCCCCGCACCTGGAACCGCGCCAGCCAGATCGGATCGGCCCCACCGATCGACCAGTAGAGGGCCTCGGTCCGGCGCCACGGACGGAGAAACGGTCCCGAAGTCAGAGATCGATCGACTCGTTTGGACCTGGTTTGAGGATTCGGGTCCAAAAGCATCTGAAGAAACGCACACTCTGGGATGTAAGTCGAAACCGGCAGTCTATCAGGTTCTAGTTAGGTCTTTCCATCTTCAAAAAAGCATAAAAAAGCTGTTTTTGTCCAAATGTATCCCAGATCCTTGTTTGTCGCGGGGCCAGGTCAAGTCTTTGGAACAGGGCCGAGTCGTCCATCCCCGATGCCACTGCACACGTGCGGTGGCGGCTGGTTTTCATGTAGGCCACCGTGGCAGTGCAGTCGGGCGGTTGGAGCTGGACTGGACGAACAGAAACACAGACTCGTCTCCGTCCGTCGTAACTCCGACAGATTTCCCCGAGAGACCTGAGGTGCCCAGCGCCTAAGGTCCAGGGAAGGCCCAGCCCGAGGAAGACGTTCACCGAATTGCTGCCTCCGAGAACGACTGGACCGAGACCACGGGGCTTGGTGTTTCTTTCCGGCCCTGGTGGATCAATCTTGCTTTTAGATCAGTGGAAAAGGAGAGGACAACCACGGAAAACCGGATGAGTTCAACAAATTGGCCGCCGCAGAAAAAGGGTGAAAACAACCTTCTAATCTGACATCCGCAGAAGTTCATTGGAATGACTACCGGAGTGGTTCTGTTCCCCCCAAAGACTGGATGCCTTCCACCTTATGACTTCAACCCGCTGGATGCCTTGCACTCGGCTTACATGGGATTCCTTGGGCAACAAGATCGAGTCGGGTGGCAATTGGCTGCAGCAATGAATCCCACGTGCCACTCATACCACTCAGGGACCGTCTGGGTGAACAGGCCGTCGAGACGGCACCTTGGGGGAACACGTGCGAAACACACAAACTAGTGAGTGTATATGATTTAGTAGTGTAACTAGTGGGAGTGCTGGATCCACTGGAAACTAGTGGAACAAACTGGACTGATTGGGCAAGCAAACGTCTGGAGGTTGAGCCTGCAAGACTTCTGCTGGAGGGGAGGTAGCAGCTTGGCAGTTGCTCTACAGATTCTTGTCCAAAGTACTATTGACGATTGAGCTTTACATCTGCAGCTTATCAGGTTGGACGCCATCGCTAGTAGGTTGGAGGCCATGGCTATTAGGTTGGACACCATCGCTGTACATATGATTCAATTGTATACTTTTGCAGTAACCCTTCCATCCCGGTTACTGGGCCACACAAGTCGGGCATTATTATGCATACATATATGTGTATATATATACTATACTATATATATATATATATCGTAATATAATAGCACTTAAATACTGCTAGTGTGGGACTGTCTCCGGCCTTTTAAGCTGCCCTCAAGTACTGTTCCAAAGACTGGGCCAGTCTCTATCAAATTCTACCAGGACCAATGCTTTTGACCAGTTCTTTAACTGGCCAGTGCTTCTTGTGGTTTCTATACATCCACTACTCCACTACATCTTCAAAAACAAATTGTTCCCTTCAAACCCACAACAAACTACCGGGGAAGTCAACTGTCATCGCCTCCTCTTCACACTCACCATGCTCCCTA